ACGAGCGCCACAGCTGAGAGGTGGCAGAGCAGAGCAACACAGAACTGTGTATAAAGTGCCCCCGGCCGGAATGCTAACGCAGGCTCCAGAGTCAGCGTGGATACATGTTTCCATGGCCCATTCATGCCTTAGTTCTGAGGCTGGTTTCTCTGATGGGATCACTGGGACCATGACAGAGGTCATTGTCATATGAGAACATAAGAACATAAGAATGGACGTACTGGGTCAGATCAGAAGTCCATCTAGTCCAGTGTCCTGTCTGCCCACAGTGGCCAGTGCCAGATGCCCCAAAGGGAGTGAACAGAATAGGGAATCCTCAGGTGATTCCTCGCCTGTTACCCATACCCAGATTCTGACAAACAGAGGCTAGGGACTCCATTTCTACCCATCCTGGCTAATAGCCATTGATGAATCTATTCTCCGTGCATTTATCTAGCACTTTTTTGAACCTGTTAAAGTCCTGGTTTTCACAACATCCTCTGGCAAGGAGTTCCAAGGGTTGACTATGTATTGTGTAGAGAAATGCTTCCTTTTGTTTGCTTTTTTTGCAACAGTGTCACACCGTTGATGCATATTTAGCTTGTGGTCCACTCAATTAATTGATAGCAGGTTTAAAACAAACACGGTCCTGGGACTCACTAACGGGAGTGTTGTGAGCAAGACACGAGAAGTCATTCTTCTGCTCTACTCTGCACTGATTAGGCCTCAGCTGGAGTATTGTGTCCAGGTCTGGGCACCACATTTCAAGAAAGATGTGGAGAAATTGGAGACGGTCCAGAGAAGAGCAACAAGAATAATGAAAGGTCTAGTAAACATGAGCTATTGGGGCAAGGCTGAAGGAATTGGGCTTGTTTAGTCTGGAAAAGAGAAGACTGAGATGAGGTTGTGGAATCTCCATCACTGGAGATATTTAAGTTCAGGTTGGACAGACACCTGTCAAGGATGATCTAGATGGTGCTTGGTTCTGCCGTGAGGGCAGTGGACCGAACTTGATAACCTCCCAAGGTCCCTTCCAGTTCTAGTGTTCTATGACTCTAATTTCATTTGGTGACCTTAGTTCTTGGGTGATGGGAACAAGAGAATAACTTTTCCTTATGACAGGTGTTGAGAAAGTGAATTATTTTAGAGACCTCCATCATATCCCCCCATTAGTCTCCTCTTTTCTAGGCTGAAAAGTCCCCATCTTTTTAATATCTCTTCATATGGCAATTGTTCCAAACCCCTCATCATTTTTGTTGCCCTTTTCTGACTGCCACTGAGTCACTCCTGACGCAGCTGTGTATCTTCTTGCCTCTTTCTCCATCTGTGTAATCGGTGTGTATCTAATACACATGCTTTCCCTCTCTGCTCCTTTGATATTCCATCCATCTGCCTCTGTCACCCACTCCTTTCTGCTCCATCATTCCTGTGATGTCTCTGCTCCGTTTGGAGCTCAGCGTCTTGTCCTTTGCATTTCGTGGGCCCCTTGGAGCCGCCTCACGCTTCTGCCCTGAGCCTTATCTAGTGTAATATTGATTTCTTTCTTTTTTAAACAGAGCGCGCAGAGAGATCAATGATTGATGAGACAGAGCAAAGCAGCAGCATCAGAAGGGCTGAGTTTGGAAGCCAACTGAATCGACATCCTGGAGCACAGCTTGTCGGGGAGCTATGCAACCACCCGGGCAAAAATCTGCTGGAGCAAATGGAATGGAGACGGACATTGACCAGTCATCGCAGGGTCATGTGCAGGCTGGGAGAGGTCAGGACAAAGAGAGAACGGGAGAAACTAAGGAATATAAGACGACATACGTAGATTCATAGGCTACGTCTACATTGGCATGATTTTCCGGAAATGCTTTTAACGGGAAAGTTTTCCGTTAAAAGCATTTTAGGGAAAATCGCGTCTAGATTGGCAGGATGCTTCTCCAGAAAAGCACTTTTTGTGGAAAAGCGTTCGTGCCAATCTAGACGCGCTTTTCCGCAAAAAGGCCCCGATCGTCATTTTTGCGATCGGGGCTTTTTTGCGGAAAAGAAATCTCTGCTGTCTACACTGGCCGTTTTCCAGAACAGTTTTCCGGAAAAAGACTTTTGCCTGAACAGGAGCAGCATAGTTTTTCCAGAAAAGCACTGATGATTTTACATTAGATTGTCAGTGCTTTTCCGGAAATTCAAGCGGACAGTGTAGACAGCTGGCAAGTTATTCCAGAAAAGCGGCTGATTTTCCGGAATAACTGGCCAGTATAGACACAGCCATAGGGTTTAAGGCCAGAAAAGATCATTAGGTCACCTAGTCTGACTCCTGTGTTACATTTCACCCAGTGACCCTTGTGTCTGTCTTCCAGCAAAGTATCCAGCCGGAAGACATCCAGAGATGGACATGTCACCATTCCCTTGGCAGTATGTTCCAAAAGGTGATCACCTGCACTGTTTTAAAAATCTGTCATCTTTTTTCCAGTTGGAATTTGTCTGGCTTTAGTTTCCTAGTTCTTCTTATGCCTTTCTCCCCTAGATTAGAGAGCCCTTTAGCATCCTGTATTTTTTCCTTGTGAAGGTACTGATGGACCATAATCAAGTCATGACTCAGTCTCCTTTTTCAATAAGCTAAGCTGAGCTCCATACCAATGTTCCCTCTAATCTTTTCCATCCACATGAGGGTTTTTTTCCACCCATGTGCAGAATAAATTTTATGTGCAACAAAGCAGGTGCAGGTGTGCACCACCTGAAAAAAAAACTAGTTCTGAACACCCTGCTAATCAGCTGGGTGGCATTTGAATCACTCCTGAGTGGTAAAATGAGTGAACAGTGAACACTGCTCCCTACATTTGTCACTGTAAGTCACCGCAATTACTATTGATTGTGGTCTCACAGAGAGAGTCTAATTAAGGACAAGGGCACCATTGGGGGAGGTGCTATACACACATAGAGGGATAGACTTTAAAGGACAGTTAGGGTACGTCTAAACTACATGGCTCCGTCAACAGAGCCATGTAGATTTGTTTGTTTGGCAAAGGGAAATGAAGCCGCGATTTAAATAATCGCAGCTTCATTTAAATTTAAATGGCTGCCACGCTAAGCCGACAAACAGCTGATCAGCTATATGTCGGCTCAGCGCGCTAGTCTGGACGCTCCCCTGCTGACATGAAAGCCCTTTATCGACCTTCCCGGTAAACCTCATCCTACGAGGCATAACGGGGAGGTCGATAAAGGGCTTTCAGGTCGGCGCGGGAGAGTCCAGACTAGCGCGCTGAGCCGACAAACAGCTGATCAGCTGTTTGTCGGC